CATTAATAAGATCTCTATGGTTGTCAAAAATCCCTGATAAAAGAACATGAGAATTTTTTTGGCGCTTCATTTTGACTAATGGTGATGTGATGATGATGAATTTTACTAAAAGTGTCATTTCTGGCCATCTAGAGGTTTTTCTTAATTTATTGTTTTAACGTGCATTACTCTAACATCCTAATTTCCTCGTCTCCTTTCTTGGAGGTGTAATTTTCAGTTACTCTACCTCTAAATGCTCCAAGATTTCAATACCAAATATCACTTTTTTCGCAAAGCCGATGCTCGTGTGATTGTGAGTTTCCTACCTATCATGTCCAGCGACCTGAGGCGGTTCGGCAAGTCCTGTTCGTGACTGACGCTGCGCGTAAGGATATATTCACGCACACGGCGTAAAGGCCTGTTTATACTCCAACGATAACGATAACGATAAAAAAAAAAAAAGCTAAAAAGCAATTGTTTATATAGAAAATAAAAGAAATAAGAGAAGTTTTTTCACAGAACGATTCGATAACGATTTATCAATTATGTGATAACATATTTTGACAAATCAAATCAGATGATATCATAATCATAAAAACATTAAAATCGTAGTAGTAGCAACGATTTTATCGTTTTTCCATGATTATGACGTCATCTGATTTAATTTGTTAAAATATTTTGTTATTGTATACACGATAAATCGTTATCGAATCGTCCTACTGTAAAAATTCTCTTATTTCTTTTGTTTTCTATATGAACAATCGCTTTTTAGCTTTTTTATCGTTATTTTTATTTATTTTATTTTATTCATTTGGCATGACGGCTCAGGAGACACAAAAGTGGAAAATCCACTGTCGCCTGAAGGACGTGCGGCTCCCAACACACAAATTACCAAAAACAAAATAAATACAGTATATAAACAGTAAAAAACTAAGATCGTTGAAGTATAAACAAGCCTTAGGCAGTGGCGTTATTTACGCCACTCACAACGCTACCTCTGTGGCTTTATTAACGCTACCTACAGACCCAGATTAGTTAACGCCACGGAACTAACGCCAGTGATGCTTGAATTGTTTGACCTCATTCCAAGAGAATGACCAATCACGATTGCAATAGATTAGTTGCTTTGTTATCTTTCATGTGCTTTCTATAAATGAAATGGTAAAGGGTTCTTTTTCTATTGCATTTTACTTAGTTTACAAT